TCTTCCTAATTATGAGCTAAACCTGCCATTTCATTTAGTGTTGCTGTTAGTATTACAAGTATTTGTGTACAAGTGCAACAATGAATCGGCGCTGGTCCCCGCAACCGGCCAAGTAAGTGTCACTTTTTCTTAAAATACTTGAAGTAGATCCATTCCTAAATCAAAATTATGGGTTATAATGTTATGCAAGATTATAAACTTTTTCGGCATAACTATGAAATTTCGAATTGTTTCGACATAAGCTTAAAAACTAAGAAGGTGGGCCAATTTTCAAAGCTTCTTAGTTTCTTTGTGATCGAATAGCTTCCAAATTTCGCCATAATGATACCTATATGCTCACAAGTAATAAACAATAGCTAGAAGAAAAATTTCTCCACGGGGAAAAATTCAGGTCCGAAAGGGTTACCATTTTCCTTGTTATGCTACAACAACTAGGCCAACAGGCAATTCCAAAATCAAGATTCTTTCATCAGAACTTTCTGAGATGATCTTTCTGATTAGATGGAACTCCAGGCTTTCTGATTAGATGGAACTCCAGGCTTTTCAAAGCCCGGAGTTTCATCTAATTTCCTGTTGTTTTTTTTTGTAAGTATTTTGTTGATAGATCAGTTCAAAAGAAAACGTACGTGGAATTGCCTTTCTCTTGGAACTCTTACTGTGGTAGCCATTCCTGTTGATTTAGCTACTATACCATAGTCGGAACAACCCATTGAAGATTAAACATTCAACATTTTGCTGCTGAATCAGAGTTGCACAATCGCGTCTTACAAAACTGAAAATGGACTTATATTTCGATCGAAAGATGCACCAAGCATGTTACCCAAAGCCAACATAATAATCTTCGAAACTATGAACACGTATACAGTAACGCAGAAATGGAAAGGCAACTTTAAAAACTACTATTGAAGAGCTCAGCAAATACTGCAAGAAATGGGAACGCACAGGAAAAGAAATGTTGTCGACGGTCGCGATGGAAATGGATTGGAGCACAGTAGCGTCTACGAGGCATTTACATGAAATGGGTTAACTAATATTCATTGATTATGAAGACGAGGAGGTCCTCTAGAACATTGAAATTTCTTATCTACCGAGTTTGCGCCAAATGAAACATTTCATTTTAAGTAATATTAGTTCGTAACAACTTCGACTGATAGCTGGAAAATCAACCGTCAATTTACGCTCGATAGGAGCAACTGTCGCGGCCCTTTCTATTTTCTTTCGAACAACTCAATTTATTAATATATTTATTTCGCCAAACGATACAAAGGGATAAATGGAGTTATAGTGGTACAGACCAACCGTCGCTCACTTGTCAGCGGGGTCAGCCCTCGTGGACGGCGCTTCAAACCCTAACTGCCGGTCCGAGCGAGGGGAAAGCCACTCCCACTGACAGGCGGTGACCAAAACAAGAAGGACGTTGCGGGTGCAAGTGCATACCGCAACAGCAACGCCAATTGAAGGTTAGCGTCAGTCACCGGTTGCAGGGCCGTGGACTGATGTGAGACGCTCCGCTTGGCCATTGGTTGTACGGGTGGGGCGGAATCAGTGGTGCACACGTTATTTTGAATCTTCAAAATTCTCTTTTATTCTTTCATGATATATTACCTGGACATGCTGCTTCTAAAACCGTTGACTAGGAAATGGTTGGGACCTGATGTGCAACCATCAAACTGCAACATAACGCCATGCGAATCCGTCCTCGACGACTTGTCAAATTTTTGAGCTTTGTTCGGGCAGCGTTAGAACTCGATGTTTCTTCAAAACCATGAGCGTGTCTTTTCTTTGGAGACGATTAGAGATGAAGTCGGCAAAGACTCTGCTTCAGGGGCGGTATTCAATCCTTCCCCCAGGGGGATATATCCCCCTGAGGGATGGATTGAGTACAGCCCCCGCTGTGGCCGGACTACTCGTCCACGCAACATCCCATCCCACTCCACTTGTCTAAGCATTAGGCTAGTGTACAGGCTATCCGCTCCTTGTTGGATCTTTGAGACTAAACGAGATGTGAGACCCAGCTTATCAGGCCGATCAAGCAGAAGTATGTGTGATGTATATAGATCCCTACTATATATAATGCGCTAAGCCTGTCTGTCTGTCTGTCTGTCACGAAATTCCGTATTAAGCGGACAACAACCTACTGGGTCCAGGTCAAGTTTGGGATGGGTGTACCATATCTCGAGGCTTGCACTTGTCGGTCACTCCTTGATGTTTGTGTTTTTTGGGTCCTCTCTCCGACAGTGATGACGCTGCATCGATCTGGACCGATCCCTTCCTCCCCGCGAGAGAAATAGGACCCCTACTCCTGTTGACCTGTGGAAAATACCTCAACGCACACTTGACCCTATTCGGACCATTCGTGTTTCAGCAGAGAGGGGAGTTGATAAATC